CCATATCTGTAAGGATGGTCCTGAGCCTTCTCCGAGGACTGTCGTGAGCTGCAAGAGCCAAAATAGTTGATGAAGTTCCCAGAAAGAAACTGAGCACTTCCCCACCCTCCACGCTTTCTGGCAACGGCGGACTAAGGGCTACGGGCTGGAATACAGGGAGCCAGCTGAAGGCCAGCAGGCATGTGTTACAACGCGCGAACTGATGCTGCAAGGGTACCTTCGCATGCAAGGAAAGCCAGAACGCCTCTTGCTGTCTTCATTTGCTCTGTAAGCGATTGTTGTACTTCTGCTTGCCTCCAGGCTGCCTACTATGCCCAAGTATGTGTTCATCTATCCACTCGGGAGAGACCATGCTAGAAACTGCTGAACGCTTGCCTGGCTCTCAACATCCAACCCGCATGCAGGTAGAAAGAAGTACATCTATCTATCCAGAGGCTACGTTATACTAGACAAGTGTTCAACACCAACTTAACTTTAAGTACCCAACCTGCAAGCAATAAGAAATGCATGCACCACCTTCAGGCAGAACAAGCTGCACCCTTGTCTACTACTTCTTGCTGCTTAAAGCGCTTCACGCATTGCTATACTTTCGTTTGTTTTCTCCTCTGTGATTACTAAACTTGTACGAAGGCAAAATAAACAAAGGTATGTACAGGTAGATGATGTTTAAAGGCGACAGCGGCAGAGCGCAGCCGGCGCGCACGCATATGTACACACACAGCCTAACGATACACCAGTAAAGGTTAGATTGGGCGCTATGGAATCCATATAAGGCTAATTAGGGTAGTAAGGAGCATTAAAGTGCATTCTATTTATTCGATTTAAAAGGATAAATCAAAAACCAAGGGAAAAGAACAAAGAAGAACAGGGGCTACCCACAGCATACAACTCCCCCGCCTTCACAGCCCTGCAGCCTGGATACCCCGCACTGTCTTTCTTCAATTGCCAAAAGTGGTAAATGTTTTTTTCTGCTTTTCACGATCTACTGCCTCGTGTTTACGTTTGTTTGAAGTCTTTAATCAACTTCATCAGCGAAAATGGTTCGTTTACACTCCAATTCCTGCTGTATTCCCTTGCAAGATGCTGTTGTTCTGCTGCCTGCACATGTGTGAACGACACACGGCGTCTGGGTTGGGCTGTATGTAGATCTGATCCGTTGCATTTTCTTTCGCTTTCGTGTGTTGTTATTTATTTAATTAATTGTTTCTGGCATTAGTTTGTTGACTCAAATTTTTTCTTCCGTCGGCTGCAAGGCCGCACCGGCGGCAGCGCGAGCACCTGCTATGGTTTGATGTACACATTTGCTTGTTCTGTTTCAGTTTGCTTTCTGTTTCTTCCTTTTATTTCTTAATTTATTTTGTTGTTTTCTTTCTTGTTGTGTTTGTTTGCAGTGTGAAATGCCCCAGGAAGTCGCCCGCGAGCTTGCGGCTACCGCCAAGGCCCTCACAGCTCCCGGCAAGGGTCTGTTGGCTGCTGACGAGTCTACAGGTAAAGAGATAATGTCTTTTTCCTTTCTTTTATTTAAATAACTTCTTCCGTAACGTCTATGCATCATCATCATAACTCGACAAAGTATGTGTGGTCGGAAGTCCAACAACGAACATCAATCCACCCCCAATAAACGAACGACTACAGATAAACATAATCGATTCTCTGATTAGGACTCGTATAAGTGTTTAGCTTCTTAAATAGGGTGCTAGAGCTTGCAGCATTGAAGTACAAGTGCTGCTGCCGATGCTGCTGTATGTTTTGTTATAGGCACAATTGCAAAGCGTTTTGCTTCCATTGGAGTAGAGAACACCGAGGCTAATCGTGCATTCTACAGAGGTCTGTTGTTTACAACAAAGGGGTTGGGTGAGTACTGCAGCGGTGCGATATTGTTTGAAGAGACTCTGTACCAGAAGAGCCCTGAGGGAGTTCCTATGGTTGAGCTTCTGAAGAAGGAGAACATCATTCCGGGTATTAAGGTAGATAAGGG